AGTGCAGCAGTTGATGTCATAATCATATCTCCATCTTCTTTCATGATCAGATGGGACACTTTTCCATCATGCCAAAGGAAAAAAGTTGGTTGTTGTGCACACAATGAAACAAGCCCTAGAACTCTTTCAAGTATTTCATGACAGTGCACAGTGTGGACATCAAGGAATAGTCAAAACAACAATAACCATGAACAAAATATACTATTGGCCTGGGATGACAAATGACATCGCCGATTGGGTCCGTGCTGGAGTGAAACTAAATCCTGTAATATTTACTTTATATTTTTAATACAAGTTTTACAGTTACATTGTAAAGAACAGTAATTATACATTTTCTGCAAAATGGAGAATTACTTTGCAATAATACTGTCATAAAAAACAGGGCCAGCTCTAACTTTTTTGCTGCCCCAAGCAGCAAAAAATAGGCGCCGCCCCGCCGAGCACCCCCCCGCTGAGCGCTGCCAGAACCCCCCTCTGAGCGCCGCGCCCCGCACCGCCCCCCCGCCGAGTGCCGCCAGAGCCCACCCCCTCCCCCTGCCGAGCACCGTGCCGCTGGAACCCCTCCCTGAGCACCGCGCCCCGCGCCGCCCCCCCGCCGAGCACCGCGTGCCACGCCGCCAGAACCCCCCTCCCCCGCGGAATGCCGCGCCGCGCTGCCCCCCGCCACACCAAGATTGGCTGCCCCTTACCAGGTGCCGCCGCAAGCATGTGCTTGGTTGCCTGGTGCCTGGAGCCGGCCCTGATAAAAGACATTTAACGTCATCCTATTATTCTGTCTTCACTATGTAGGTTTCACGATGTCCACGTTGCCAGAAAGTGGGCAAGGAATTACATCTTGATATCACCTTGAAAAGCATAAAGGTGAGTTTTGGACTCTGACACACCTACAAACTTTCTTCAGAATTTCCTTTTACCTTCCTTCTATTGTCAAAGCATTAGGAATGTTCTTAGTGTGGACTGCTTATACATTCTATCAAGTCTCATTCTCTGCCCTGGAAAACGGTTAATCAATCTTAGAAATAGACAGTTCAAGATAATAGCTTAGCATTATGCATTTTTGCAATTGCTACACAGTGAGGCCTTTACTTCCCAAGGAATTCAGTGCATGTGACTGGCACAACATAGTGCAACTATGAGCTGTATTGCTCCATGCCCTGCCATAAAGCTGCACATTTATTATTATATCATCTTTCTCACAAGTTTTCTTGTTCTTTGTCTTTTTGTTCTGAATTGTTCCTTTTCATACAGGTCAGTCATCCCTTTGAATTGGTGGGAATGGATTTAATGGGCCCATTACCGGCAACAAAGAAGGGATAGCAATATATACTGACAGCCACAGACTATCTTACAAAATGGGTTTGTGCATCTGCAATTAGAAATAAGTCTGCATCTGTGGTGGCAAAGAAAATGTACAAATTCATACAGCAATATGGATGTTCACAGCGAATACTGACAGATTGTGGATCAGAATTCAATAATGAGGTAAATACTTGTTTCTGTTTTTGACTATGTCTTCAACCACACTTTCACATCACAGATAGCTGACAGTGAACATGGGATTCATTGTCCTTGTGAGTTCTTCTTAATAGACACTTGTCAGCCAAAATGGACATAAACTCCCACTCATCTTATGTCAAGGATTGGAGATATCCCATCTCCTAGAACTGGAAGGGACCTTGAAAGGTCATTGAGTCCAGCCCTCTGCCTTCACCAGCAGGACCAAGTACTAATTTTGCCCCAGATCCCTAAGTGGCCCCCTCAAGGATTGAACTCACAATGCTGGGTTTAAACACGCCAGTGCTCAAACCACTGAGCTATCCCTCCCCCCCTCCGCTGGTCACTCGATCAGAGTTGCTATAACCTTTTATTCTTTCTTTTCTTTTTACACACCAAACCTGTCCAGGGGAAAGTTTATGGCATACGTTTTTTCCTTTCAGCTTAACCGACAGATGTGCCAAAAATTGGGAATACAACGGAGCTTGACCAGCCCATACCATCCACAAACCAATGGACTAGCTGAAAACACAAACAAATCCATCAAAAGGTAATTTTAGGCCAGTGGAAATTACAGTATTAATAGAAAGGAGAATGCATTATGACAGAAGCTACAAATAGCTTCAAATTTTTAGTACATTGAAACTAAACTTGTCTTTTATTTAAAGTAAAAGGAATTATCCCACTGCACTATGATGGACTCTTTACGCCTTTTTGATTGCATACAATTTCTCACATTAAAGACAGTACTTTCCCCTTCCCCCACAAATAATCCATCACTGTTTTTTACAGAGCACTGAGGAAGTTGGTTGATGACAGTGCAACTAATTGGGATGAATTTCTTGGTGACGTATTTTCTTTGCGAACAAAACCAAACATGACAACCAAATTCTCACCCTATCAACTACTGTATGGCTTTGAGCCAAGATTCCCAGACCAAGTTTCAGACAAGTACACGCTAAGTGTCCTTCAGCTTTCAGGTGCATATGTTCTTCTGTGATTGTTCATTTTACAAGCACAACTCCTTCTCCATTTGTTTCCAAAGCCACCAGATTTAGAGCAATTCGACGAAGAACACTACAGAGACTACATCATGAAAAATGAATCTAGCTGTGATGCTGAAACTAAAGTGGCTATTAGTAATATTTCAAATGCCCAAGAAAAGCAACAAATACAGTATGCGAAAACTAACACTCGTAAATATGGGGAAATAACATTCAAGGTTGGTGACACTGTCTTGTTACTGAATTGCAAGAAGGAAAACAAGACAGGAAGGGAAGATGCAACCTACCTACGTGGGACCATACAAAATTGCCACTGTAGGGGGCAAAAGAGTTCAATTAGAAAACAAGTCAGGGAAAGGTTTAGCAAAATTTTACAGTATCTCCCACCTAAAAGTATTTAAAGAGCCTCCAACATTAGGTGAGGAACATATGTCACAGAGAAACATGGAAAAGGAAACTGCTGTGGATGAAAATGTCAAAACCTCAGAGGTAGGAAAAATGGGAGGAAATGTATCTCACAAGCCTCACAACAGCCAAGTGGAGGTCACACACATGGAAAAGGAGGAGTGTGTAGTGTCAGGAGTTTCAAGCTGTCATCCAGGTGATTTTGATAACATGGTTATGGAGGATGATGAAGACAGAGAATGGCTTCTCAAAGGTATTGCTTACCACACAGTTGTTTTTAAAGAATTTGTTGACACACTTCCATTTATCAAGCATGTCAACAGTTTCCATGTAGGAATGGTCACATGGTCACATGTAATATATATATATATTTTCCCCAGTAAAACTTGTAATGACCCACAAGATTACATACAGACTGGAGGCCAAAGTAAGAAAAATCAATTTGTATGAGAAAGAATTGTGTGACCTGATGCAAGAAGGACAGCTGAGTGATAATGTACATTGAAATAGCTGTAAACATGGAAGCTGACTGGAGAGATTCAACAGATGTTTTTGAAATGTTAACTCTTCTTTCATCATCTGTTGTAGGTTATTGATGTGTATTTGCGTTGTTTGGTTGAGAAAGCAAGTGAGAAGGTAGGTCATTTATTGTGATGCTATATGGCAATATCAAGTATATCAATAATCTGACTATCAGATGAATATGTGATAAAACATGTCTGACTGCACAGGGCCTGGAACTGTCATTACAAACCTCTAATTACTGAAAATATGTATGTACTTACTGCATCCAAACACGTAATCAGAAGTAATTTGAGGTATATACCAGAGATACAGTTCGTGACATGAATAAAGACACACTAGTTGTGATATGCAGTTCAGTGGGGCCATGATATAAACCGAAGCCTATGCACTGCATAATCAGTTTTAAAAGTAAGTACGCCATAGAATATTCAGTTTTAATAACATAAGATTTATAAACTATATTTCATGTTTTTGGTAACAAAAAGGATCTCTTCCATGCCTTCCTTTAAATGATTTACTATGTGTTTTTGTGTGACACATTAATAAGTTGCTTGAGTATTAACAGGTAGAAGCCATCTCGGCAGTCGTTGCTACTAGCATTCTGTCAGGCAGAGCAAGCCAAATCAAAATGGAAAAGGTAAATATTAACATGCCCCACATGGGCAAATTCCCATTTTCAGAAAGGCAGTTAAGCAGAGTCTTAGGAAACAGCAAAAACTATTGTGGATGAACTCATTCTCTTCCTCGGTGGGTTCCACGCTTTTGGTTAGCGGCAGGCTGGGGTATTCCTCTCTCCATCAGAATTTCCCCATTCACCAAGGCTTGCTGAGAACACCTTGCCTGAGCAGAGTTCCTCCCAAGCTCCTTGACATGGGGGAGAGGGAGAGGAGACTTGTCTTCGGTAGCCCCTCCAGGCATGGGGTTCACAGAGCAGACACCCAGTTGAGTCTTTCCCCTCTGGTGGAGGTCTCTTCCCTCAGACCTCTGGGACTCAGAAGGGCTGTTCGCCCTGTTGGGCAGTGTTTCCCCTGCCCTTTCCCTCTGTACCTGTGGCTTTCCCCTCCTGGTGCTTGTCAGCATCTGAACTGGGCAGCTTTCCAGTGGCACACCTGCTTCACACAGCTCTCATCACGCAGCCCTAGCTGGCTGCAGGGGAGGCTATTAACAGGTTCTGCCAGGTAACTTGATCGGCCACAGGTGTTCCAATTAACATGGAACACTTACCAACGGAAAAGGGGCCTGATTATCCTCGGGCTAATCTGCCTGTCTTCCACCACTTCCTTTTGCTGCCATGCCTGACCCATATTATGCTATGTTCGTGAAAGATTAATAAGCATGTATTGTATTAGTAAGCATGTACTGAAACTGTGTAATACAATGTTATCCCCACTGAATGCTTTGCTTCACAGACAAGTATAACTGCATTTTCATTCTCTTTTTTTCCAATGATCACAGAGTGGAACTCTGCAAAGAGAGATATTATTGCTTCCAGTCAATGCTCAAAATCACTGGGTTATTGTGGTAAGATGCTTTCCATTGTTATACTTTGGCATTGTGTGACCTTAATATATTCTTTCATAGAAATCTGATACAGCTGCGTACCAGTGACATAATTTGCTTTATACAGTATTTAATAATTTCAATAAAGGAAAAAGGAACTGTAATTTAAGTCTTTACATTCTGAGGACTGCAATTTTGAAAATAAAATGCTAGTGATAAGACTGTTATTCTGTTGGCAATTTGAATATACAGGATAAAATGTGCACTGTTGTATTGAAGGAACTGACAATATAAATGTCTCATGTGTGTAAGGGACACATTAAAAATGATATTATCTTCCTGCAATGTTTAGGAAAATCATTAGATATTTGTTGACATTATCAGATTTCCACTGAGATGTTGATGCATGTTCACTTACATGATAACTCTAATGGAAACCAAAGAGATGTTAATAATTGATCCCTGGGGTAATGAGAAAACCGATGAAAGAGAATTCCTGAGGAATTGGAGGTGATTTTTAGACATTTACTTTGACAGTTCACGTGTTTTGTAATCGTGACAGTTATTTTAGAACAACTGTTGCAATGAGGATAATGTCTTCCAGCAATAAAGAGAAATGGAAACTTATGCTGACTAGGCTTAATAATAGACATTGAGTGAACTTTTGTGATTTGAGGCTGGATAACTACTTCATTGAAAGCAGGCACAAAACACTAGTATGTAGCACGAGTCATAAGGTGTTAGTAGTAACACTGTCCACAGCAAAGCAAGGGATGTGTTTAGCATAGGACTCTGATACAATTATATGAAACCAAGTGCATACATGTGATCATTCAGTCATTGCAAGTAGAAAAACCCTCTTATGGAGTCGACTACTGTACTTCCTTCAAATTACAGGTCTTTCCTCTATCAACGAAATGGAAAACTGAAGGAGAATTGGAAAACCAAAATACTGGACCACCACAGACAAATTGATGGGCATAACTGCGGACCACTAATCCTAAAGGTATTCAATGCCAAATGTTCGATATTGATTATAGTCATGATTGTCATCTTGTTTTCTAATTCCAAGTGCTATTAGTTTGCAGAAACATATTTGCAGCATAAAGAGATCAGTTCTGTAGAAACAACACAAGAGGATCTAACTACGTTTAGAAGAAAAATAGCAATTCTCTTAATGAAAGAGTCAGGTAATAACTTTGTTACATATCCATAGTGGGCCCATAGCATATGGGAGGACAACTGAAAGAGCGGAATAAAGTCAGATGACAAAGAGTTGCCTTAATACACCTCCAGTGTGATATGTCACAGATTTGTTTATGTCATGGTGAATCTACCTGAGAAAAGGTCTGTAAGTATTGTTCAAAATGCGGTGGTAATGAATGGTTGCTATTGACTTTTCAGTGAAATGTATTTGGATATCGTTGTAGCCACTAGCAGGAAACCAAGATTTGGAGAATCAGAGACTGGGTCTCCCCAAAAAATGTAAACAATGAACCCTCGAAAAAGGAAAAGTATTTGCAAACAACGGAATGTTTTTTGAGAAGTTAACCAATAAAGAATAAATCAAAATTTCTATTTACAGTTTGGGTCATAATATAACCATCATTTGACAACATTTCATTGGTTTTTTTTCAGAGAGCGTGGAGGACTACTGCCTACACTGCAATTATCTAACTTGCAAAAAAATACATGAAGATGGAATAATGGTAAGGGGAAAAAAAGGTATGATATATTGGAACAGATCTGTAAGGAGAAGGCAGTACAAGAACAAAACTCATGGCTGAAGACAAACAGTTGCATATTATCCAAACATAATTACCTGCCTAAAGATCACGATTATTGTAATAATTCCACAGTAGCAAATATTTCCACTGCTGCTGATAGTCAGATCTTGATTAATGATAATATGTTGAAGGAATATTAGTTATTAACTTTTACATTAGTTGAAGTTATCTGTACAATTATTATTTTTTGGATTTCACATTCTCACTTCTTACTTATCAAAAGTGCAGTGCGACTCTTGCGAGAGGTGGGCACACATAGCCTGCCTTCCCGAGGGAATCACTGAAGAAAACCTGAATGCTGAGGAGAAAGGGTACAGATGCATCAAGTGTGCATAGTTCAGTTATTTAACTAAAATGTACATTGAATAAGGAATTTGCTAAGAGCAGTATTTTTGTTTTCTTCAGCAAACACTTCTGAAATATAAATGAGAAGAGAAGTGTAACCTTACATTAAATTTCAGTAAAGAAAAAAAGCATTAACTATCTATAAATATGTTCAGATTATTTTTTATAAAAATAGTTGAAATGAAACCTACAATGTTCTTGTTTCCATCTCTTGTTACAATAGGGAAGGTTTTATATTTTTAAAAATACCTCAGTATAGTTGTGTCCACATTTTCAATGGAGATTTCACAATGGTAACAAATTATGACAGGGCATCAATCATCCATAAAGGTTTGTTACCTCTGAAATTTCTCATACTGTGCTCTCAGGCTGATGCCCTATGACATACAAAGCAAATGGGGCCAGAGGTACCCCCTCGGTCATACTTTGGTACCCCTAGACCAGAAGTGTTGCATGGGTTTTTGTTCATTTCATTCTCAACATAGTCATTTGGATGTTTATCACAACATTTTATGC